GGCAGCGGCGAGGTCCGCGGCGAGAGCTAAGCACTTCTGCTGAAGGGCAGCCATAGCCTGTGACAGCTCGGTTTCACGGTCGGTGAGAGGTGGCTGCTCAGTGACATCCGCCGAGGATCTCGAGACAGAGGCGAGGTCCTCGGTACGCCTGTCCAGGTGGGCTAGCGGCGTGCGGGACCCTGAACGCTGACGTCCGTCACCGTTAAAAGGTGACTGGAGGGGCCGGCGCGACCCCAGGGCTGGAGCCGCTAGGGCCGCGCCCCGAGAGGTCAGGGGAGCCGCTTCCTCTCGCTCAGCAACGGAGGAAGCGTGGGTGGGGCACGAGGGCCTGTCTGGTTTAGTACCCTGCGGGGGGGCTGAAGCCGCCCCCGCGGGTCGCTGACGATGGGGAGGTGAAGTGGTATGCGCGGTGGGGCCAGTCGTGATGCCGTGCAAGGCCGCTGAGGTCGGTCGCGTAGAGGGTTGGTGACTCGGTGGGGCGGCATGGTCGGCAGCGTGTGGTGTCGGCGGTGCGTCCTCAATGCCACCCAATCCTCGGGGGGCACTCGGGTCGTGGTCGGCGTCCTGGCGGTGACCGATATCATCGTATGTGGGCGTTAACGCTCTTGGGGACGGCGTCGCAGTAGGGTTTGCGAGGTTTCCCGACGGGGCGGGGTTTTCGTTGGCTGGTCCGTCGTCCAAAGCGTCCGATCCCCCACCGAGGCTGAAAAGGTCATCGTCCTGCTCATCAGCGTCTTGAAAAGGAACGGCGTTGTCATGTGGGTGGGCTGACGCACTCAATGGCGGAGTCGGGGGCGCCGTGCGGGTGCCCGCCGGGGCAGGGTTGGCGCTGGCTGACTCGTCGCCCAGGAAGTCCAAACCTCCACCAAAGCCGAACGGGTCGTCCTCCTGTTCGTCGAATAACCCCCGTTGGGCCTCGGCCCAGAGCTCGTCGGGGTTTTGTGGGATGTCTGGTCCAGCCGCGGGTGGAGCCTGGTCAGACAGCAGGGGATTTGGTTCCATTTTGTTTAGTTCTGCAGCAGTGAACCCAGCCCTGCGGTGTGGGAGAGGAAGAGTACGATGTCTCCGCTCGTAGATGGCAACGGCGACTCCATGGAGCACGGTCGCTTGGCGGTGTCGTGCTTTGGCAGCTTCAACGATGTCGTCTGGAAGGTTATGAGTACGTGCCGCCGCTGTGGCGAGGGCGTCAGCCTGACGATTGAACTCCTCCGCGATGGGCCCGATGAGCCCGAGGTCGATGCCCGTGTCGCCCTGGTGGCTAGCGACTTTCTCTACGCGGAACATGTTTGGCTTGGCCATGACACATCGGTGGACCTTTTCCCAGAACTCCACGTGCGTGCCCTGCGGAGGTGAGTGTCCGTCGATGATCCTTTGGAAGCCGTCGACCACCGCCTGGTTGTCCACGAAGACGTGTACGGGCCGTTCAGCACATGCCGTGAGGTGGACAATGGCGAGGGTCTCCGCAAGCTGTGCGTTCTGCGTGATGCCGTGAACGCGCGCACTGTAGTTCATGCGGTGGTCGATGCCGTAGTAGACGCCGTAGCCCGCTCTTGCAAGCAAAGGGATGGCTTGGTTGGTGCATGCACCGTCCGTGGCAGCGTAGACCCATGTCCAACCAGTGTCGTGGTCAAGGTAAGTGGTGTAGGAGTCCTGGGCTGAAGCCGCAGGATCTCCCTCAGGCGGGGGCCGCGGTATGGGTTGAGGTAGCGGGTCCCTCGCGAGGTCGGCTTGCAGATCGAGGAGGGCTGGGTCCTCATCGAAGAGCCCGCAATGTCTTGTGTGCGGAGGAAGACGGGCCCACTGCTCGTCACTGATGAGGGTGGTGAGAGGGACTCTTTCACGGGCCCAGCACTTGCAGTCACGCACAGTGTGCTCCTGAGTTTCCTCTTCCTCATCACAGTAACGGCAAATAGGGCTGGGATCAGCGGACGTATTTGATCGAGAACGTCGCTGTTGGGTGTGGTCCCCGCCCGACAGGTAGTTTAGGAGGAGCGCCAGCTGCCATGCGTTGCATTTGGCAGCTCCTTTGGTGCGGGCGAGCCACGTGCTGGCGAAAAGGTCGAGGCCCTGTCTGACCGAAGCAAGGTGTCCAAGGTCATGACGCCGTGGCTTGATTTTTCTCAGAAAGGCTCTGCGTTGCGAGGCGCGCAGCATGTGAAGGAAGGCGTTTTGGGGAAGGTTCAGCCAACTGATCTGACAGCCCCAGTCGTCGTACATGGTGCCAAATGTGGGCCAAGTCCAACGGAGCTGCTGAAGCGTCTGAACAAGTCGTCCAACAGGTCCTCCGCCAAAAAGGGTCTGGACATGGTGTTGGAGATCCCTGACGAGGCCGCAGAGAGTGGCGTCGCGGTTGACCTGTCGCCGCAGGCACAGGAAGACTTCACGCTGCATAATGGCGTCAATCTCCAGGGCGTGCCCTGGGACGCACACGGCCATGAGAGTCCAAAACTCGACCCACCTGTTTCCCTTGGGGCGGATAGCCGCCTTAAGGGCATGGTTG